AACACTGCTTCACAGGGCATCTAAATGCAAAATGACATAATTACAAACAGGGATTGCTTTTGTTACATAGAAAAAAGTATTTCTTCCAATTATTTTTAGTATACAGCAGTATTTGGCTGAAACTTTAATGCACTTATTCTTTCATTTCTTAATTTATTCAACATGTTTATTGAACATCTAAATTGTGTGCTATAGTGAGAACTATGTGCTATAGTGATACAAGGAAGGGTTTATAAGAAATATTGCCCTTAAGTAGCTTGCAATCTGTCACTTAAAATATTTAACAATGGGTACTGACCCTGACCGAGGCTGCCTTAATGTTTCTCTTATTTTGATAAAACTTTAGATAGGTTTCTTCCTGACTGTAGGCCCCTGATCTCCCTTTTCTTAGAGCATTCACGTTAGAAAACTTGAAATTATAAATTTTTTCTCTTTGTCTTTGAGATGTAAGTCTTATATAACCCAGAAATATCTTTCTCAAGAACCTGGAGTCATCCCTTTGAAATGTAATCACAGAAGTAGATATTGCCCCTATCTCCCGGTCTCTGTGGTCCAGTAGGAGTCTAATCTTATTAAGTGACAATTAGCAAACATAGATGGCCTAATCACATTGACCTTCCTCCCTTCTAACATCGTCTAGTGGTTTTCCATTAGTTGGCCTCAGTATTTAAAAACCATCCACCTTTTGTTTCAGCATAGTTGAGACTGACTCTCTCTTTCTCTTTCTTTCTCTCTCTCTCTTCCACCTCCCCACTACCCATTGCAGTAGTCTTGAATAAAGTCTTCTCTGACAGTTTAAATGGTTTGGTGGAGTTTTTCTTTTACAATACTAACCACATTTTACCGTAAATGTTTTTAAGCTTATCTAGTCTAGTATATTGTTAATGATCTGATTAACAACGAATAAGGTTGAAATGGTGCCTAATGTTAAATATGTTGAATACCATCCCCACTACAGGCAGTGGGCTTAGAAAGAAAACAAAAAACAAAAAACAAACACTGCTTTAGGAGTCTTGGAACTTGTTTGAATCTCATTTTCACTTCCTACTACTTATGTGGCCTTGGGAAAAATATTTCATTTCTCAGAATTATTTTTCTTCATCTATAAAATAGGGATAACAAAAGTCTACTGTCCGGATATACTTTGATCCAAGGAAACATAAACAGAGTAAGGGGGAAATGAGGTAGTCTGTAACGAGCAAATAGTCGAGGAGGCACTCAAAGAAGAGCTGAGCAATGTTATTGGCAAGGAGCCAGGAAAAATTCTCTAACATCACTTACTGAATTCTTTAACATTCTCTCAAGTTGCTTCTCTGCTCACTCTAAAATTATGGCTCCTCTTGACAGTGTTCTCTGCTTCTCCTCCTCTTTCAGAGGTCTGGTTCTTCACCTTCTCCTGAGTTTCCACAGAGTTGTCTCCTTACAAAAACGTTTCCCTCATTTATTTCTATATTCTTGACAACTAGTCACCCTGTATTTTAAGTATCTTCCTCAAATTGGACCCTTTGGTCTGGTTAATTCTCTAACTCTGCCAAGCCACTTGTTTCTGAAGGAACCAAACAAAGTCTTACCTATGCCTTCTTGATTTCTATCCATTGACCAAATGACAATGGTGTTCCACACTGTCATTACTGAGCAAAAGAAACACATTTGGAACCTAGGCAGAGCCCCCAGAGGAATTATGTACTGGTGTTTGCCACTGCAAACCAAGCAACCTTTCCCCTGAAAGGACAGAATCATTTATCAGAAGTGAATTATTTTAGAACATTACTGTGCTCCACCAGGGCATCTTCTTTTCTCTTTAAGTAAATCAATAGCCCTCTCAAGCCAAAAAGCACATTTGATTTAACCTTTTCAGTTTGAAATACATAAAGTTGACATTTACTATAACAAAAAATTTACAACGGTTGGGGCTTAATTTAATTAACCCCAGTACTGAATTTTAATGAGCAAGTCTTAGAAGGTACTGATTTAAACTTTACCAAAGAATACCAGACATGTAGCAATGGTACCAAATAAATACCATTGAGATCACAATGAAAATGATGACATTAAATGAGTTATCTGTAATCTGGAATATAAAAACACTTAGAAAGTTTGTTTTTTGTTTTTGTTTTTTTTAGAATGGCATTAATTATCAACCAACTTTGAGTAATTTCTATAGACTTAGTAAATGGGAACATGATCTAGGATGTTCAAAAACAGAATAACCCTTAGTCTGTGCTTTCAAAGCACAGTTAGTAAGATACATATTTACCTGTGAACATTTAAATAATTACTAGGAGAGAGGACACGGAGGAGACTTCCTGAGACCACTGGGAATTGATTAAGTCTTTGTAGAAATATGATCAAATATTTAAAAGGAGAATGAGAGGGCAAAGCAAAGCTAAAATTAGGGAAAGATAAGTATGTCGGTTGGAAGCATAAATTAAAAACTAGTTCATGGAGTTGAGATGTGTCTTGGGGGGACTATAGATATTATAAAGATATGTATGTTTGAACAATGTAATCTAGGTAGTAAGGGGCATCAGAAAATCATTGTAAAGGGAAGAAACAGCTGCAAGATAAGTTTTAGGAAAAGTTTCCACATAGAATGGTTTGAAGTAAAAAGATAAGGGACTAGGAAGACATGCTGAGAAGCTGATGCAACAATACAATTGTCTTTAACACATCATTGGTGCTAAAAGGTGATTCAAGAAAACAAAGTGAAGAATAAAAATAATGTTTGGATATAGAATGAATATCCAAGGGAACATGCCCTAAATGATGTTTCAAATAGGGGACATGTCTGTCCAGAAATGTACACTTGGGAGCTATCCACACAGAGATGACAAAGCAGGCAATAAAATACATGAGCCAAAGGAGTCAATGTGTGCTGACCATGAAAATGATGATAGTTGAGGATTAGGGATAGATAACGTTCAAGAAGTTAAATGATCAGGGACTGTATGCATCTTCTAAAATAGTGGTCCTTAAGCGTTAGTGTGCATGAGAACCGTTCAGGGGCTGCTTGTTCATAATGCAGTCAATAGATGTAAGGTTGAAGTTAGAAATGTGAATATTGAACAGAAGCTACTGGTGAGGTTCCTGCAGGTGATCCTGAGACCACATCAAGACATACGCTGAGAGAGAGATGTAAAATTTTAAAAAATACTTTGCTTTAATGCTATGAATTTAGGTTGCTTTGATACCTGAAAAATCGTCTTAATATTTTTGTCCTTGCATTCTGCTTCATGCTGATATTACACATTAAAAAACAAAAAACACCAAAATATAAAAGAAGGTAAAAGTCTGCAATATCAAAAAATAGAGCATACAATGATTGCTGAGTTATTACTGCAGATTAGGATGTGGACTATTTTTCTATAGAAGTCTTTTAAAAGTATCCTGGATAAAATGAACCTTCAGAAAAAGCAAGTTTACTTTTATTGCTGCACTACATCAGAATATCTAATGTGTTTCCAGTATATCTATCTTCAATAGATCTGCACCAGCATCATTTAAGTTAGTTCTGTTCTTGGCAAGTTTTATGTCCTATATAACTTATTCACTCCATAACATGAAATAGAGTTAGAGAGCTGTGTATTAAAAATTTGAATGAATATTTAAAAATTAATCAGTTTCCCACTTTCAATTGAAGGTTATACTATGTATAATTTTTATCATTCTTGCGAGATCTCACTTTTTTCATTTTTCCCCCCAATTATTTCTACTATACATCTTTTAATGGATGAATTTTACCACTGCAGGAATTAGGGAATCTTGATCCTTTTCTCTAGAATGAAATGACTAATAAAAGCTCGAGATATATTTAATACAATTAATTCCTCAGAAAATTTTGTGTGAAAAAGTCCAAGTTTAATAGCGTTAGTCTCATTAAGCAACTTGTATTTTATTAGGAATATGCAATGCCTGTGAGGCATTGTAAAATCTTATAACTTCAGTACCCTCTGGTGGCAGAACCTTTAAAGTGAAACTGTCAGCAACTCTGGCGAGGGCTGTGGACTAGCTTGCACTTCTAAGCTTAAGATGAGAATACAAATGACTTATTCCTATATATTGAGATAGCTTTGGAAATAGCTTCTCACTGATATCCTTGGGGCAAATAACTACTGCTGAAGATGGAGAAGAAAGGATGCTGATTTTACATCGTTATTTTTTTCAATATACGAAAAAGCAAGTTAAAGAGTTACTTCACTGAAGCTTATGAAACATATATTTAGGAAGCTCATTTGGATATGGGCAGTAATTTTCAAATTAATATATCTACTGCATTTCTTAGGTGAAGACATAGCCAAAAACAAAGAAAAGAATAAAGGAAGACAATACAAAAGAGAAAAGATAAAGAAGAGAACCCTGGAGTATAGTCAGTTTACAATGTTGTGTCAATTTCTGGTGTACAACATAATGCTTCAGTAATAAATGAACATACACATATTTGTTTTCACATTCCTTTTAACCCTAAGTTATTATAAGATATTGAATATAGTATTGTAAACGGACTATACTTTAAATATATATATATACATATATATAAAGAGAGAACTCTGGATCCTGCTCATCAGGAGAGTCTCTTAGGTATGAGGAAATCAGTGGGCATAGAGACCTGGGGCATTCAGAAAGATGAGCTTATATAGATAAAAATATTATTTTATGTTTCTTTCAAACCCAGGATATTTTAGTAATTTGAGGCAACTGAAAGTCCAGAGATCTAAGTGAATGACAGAAGTTTAACAGCTAGTTAAGCAGCAGAGCCAGGATTTAATCTCAAACTTCTGGCTCAAAATTTATTTTTTGGCATATTACACTTTACAAATTCAGAGTCTAAAGCTGGGAAGGACAAAAGGGAATCATAGGTTACTGCATGATAAGAGGCATATGCTTGAAAGAATCCCAGATGTGATCAAATGGCTGAACATGTTCTATTTTCTATAACATGAAGCTAAACTATGCCACTGATTTTTGTAATCCTAGTGAAATACAGCCTCTGAAATATAATCACTTGTGCTTTTGCTTCTGAATCCTGAAGCCAAGAAATCTGTAGGATTATATATCCCTCAGGGTGCAGACATTTTAATAATCAAATAGGATAGGGTTTTACTTTAAATTCCTTATAATCCACAGATTTTAAAAGTCATTTGGCAGTGTAAATGTCAATGAGATAAACATAAATGCATTAAACATTGTAGTTATTGTTTTAATCATAAATCCTTACATTTTAACTTTGTCAAACATCAATAAACAGAAAGCATCCTTGGAGTAACCAAGACATGACTATGATTTATTTGTTTGTATAATAGTTATTGCTGTTTAGCTACCTAACAGCCTTTCTCTAATTCCACTTCTTCCTCTTTATTTTAATAAGATCTAGATTTTGTTTATCTTCCTGGGAGGGGCCTTTTCCTTTGAAGGTAGGCCTCAGCACCAACCATAACTAGCTAAATGCAGTCAAGGTGGTCAAATTACTTTTACGAGTGACTGCTCAGGTAGAGCAAATGATAGAATAATGGCCAATACGACATAAAAGGGAGTCAGCTGGGAGGCTCTGGGAAAGTTTCTTTGCTCTTAAAGAGAGTGGTAAAGGAATTGAGTTTTTAATGGAACTACCTACTTCTTGACTTTTTATTATGTATTAAAATAAATATTCTCATTGTTTAAACCACTTTTAGTTGGTTTTTCTGTTACCTGCAGTCAAAAGAGGGCTGATATAATTTGTCTCTGAGCTCTTCAATCTTACAATAAGGTCAGCTCTAGGGAAAACAGGTCAGGTTCGTGTTTACCAACCTCCTCTATGGGAGATACACTCTTCAGAGCCCAACTTATTTTCATCTGTCATCTGAACATTTACAAATGGACATACATTTGTAAAAAAAACTACAAGGCATAGCCTCTGCCCTCAAACAGTTTCCAATATGTACTCCAAATGGCATGGCCCTGGACACCCTACTAGATCACAGACTTTTAATAATAGTTCCATACTGTGGTCTTTTCCAATTTTTCACCCTCTTACTTATGAATTAATTCTTAAGATCTCTTTTCTCTCTCTCTCTCTCTCTCTCTGCCCTAATATAAAAATGGTGACTGATGCAATGAAAAAGTTAAGTCATAATGAATATATTATTCCTATTAGTTTAAATTATTTCATCTCAATAGATTATCTTTTAGAACTTAGTTCTAATTTAAGAATATCAGTAGTTTCAATGAGTGTTCAGTTATATTTTGTGGCATTTTCCGAGGTACTAATCATCCATAACATACATCTGGATGATTTACATACAGGAAAATATTTGCTTGTCTTCCAAGCATGGCCTCTGTTTTTGAATTAAAAGTTCAGTAAGTGTTCTGGAAGATAAAGAATTGTATATTCATATATTCAATAATAATAATCTAAGATCTGACCAGGGATTTGAGTGGGAGAAAAAAGCTGGAGAGGAAGTCATATTCTAGCAAGAATCTATTATCCCCATAACAGAACTTTCTGGCACATGTGAAAGATATTGGCTATGAGATCTAAGTGTATATATAAACATAAATAGAATAATAAAAAGCATACTCCCTTTTCTTTAATTTTATTAAATTGTATTTTAGACTTTAAAACATATACCTGGAACAGTTTAAATGACAAAAATATTTGTTTAAATTAGCTTCTACATGACAAAAAAGCAAAGAGAACTAGAATAAACACAACCACAAATTTCTTGACTTTCATGAAGTTAATTTATCTTCATATAACATAGTATTCATTTTTTCCTTTACAATTCGCATTTAAAGAAGAAAAATTAAGATGAAGTAGTAAAATAACAAAGGAAGACTGTTCTATAAACCAGTCAGGGAAATATTAACTCTAAGGGCATAAAAACAAATCTCTGCATCCTTTAACTCATACCATGAAGAATAAACTATTTCCAAATGCATCTTTTCACTTGCTTTACAACCTCCAGTGATTTTTAACAACTCTATGTTCCACTGCACACATTGACATTATTATATGTTTAAAAGATTTCTCTCTTTGGAACTCATATTTTAAATTGCCTAATCTATACAATTGGTAATAATCTGTCAAGACCAAGAAGATGAAAATATAATAATGCAAATGCTGTTATAGGAAAAGAGTACCTCTTAATAAGATGAATTCTATCCATGTAAGAAAATTATACTACATCTAAAATACCTGTACGCTGAATTGCTTTCAGTTGTAATTTTTAGTCACCCATTGCTAATTGCATTAAACTAATTAAAAACCCAGTTTAAATATCAATTATTAAAACTGCAGCACTTCCATTTTTATAATAATAAAAAGTAACATTGATTTTAAACTGACAACCAAAGACATTCTAAACAATATTCTTAAGTTTTCAAATCTGACTATTGTTCAAGAGAGTACTCATACTGATTGTGCATATCTGCTGTTACTATACACATCCAATTTTTTAAGACTTTATATCAGACTCCAATGTGCCTGAGAAGAAGCTACTCAGTTCACAGTCTGATACTTACCTCTGATTTAAAACAGTCTTCAAACAGCTTGTCAGAATCTGCCAGTGTAGTGCTTTAGGCAACAGGTTCCTAACAATGCCCCACAGGGCTACAGCATTAAGTGTTTTCTATCAAATGCACCACCTTCCCTTTTTCTTATCTTGAGACAAGTAGAGCACTAAAAACTTGACTTCATGGCACTAAAAACTTGACTTCATGGCTTAATGTGGATAGCACTACATTTTACTGACTATAAAGAGTAGGGCACTCACAAACTGACCTCTGCAGGCTTTTCTTTAATAATTAAGGGCAGAAATAACATCCAGAAGAATTGTCATTGATACTCTTAGAGCTACTCTCTCCCAAAGAGAGGTTATCTTTTGAGAGGGTTCTTTAAACTTCTCAACTTGGGTTTGATAACCACAGAAGATATATCAACAGCCACAGACTGAGACTAAATTAAGACAGTTAATGTACTTATTTAATCAATTGAAATATTTAATGAGCATCTGCTGTAGATCAGGCAGCGGAAATTCAAAAAATGACTAAGATAGAGACTTCTGACCTTAGGGGATCTAGTAGGGAAGAAAGTCCATTTAACAGGAGTGGTTTTGTTGAAGCAATGGTGGCAACAGCTAACTTAATTGGACTGAGGAGTAAGGAAAGGCTTCCAGGAGGAAATGGCATGCATTTAATCTGAGACTCTATTAGAAGCCAGGGAAAAAAGAAGTTTTTTGAGGTTTTTTTTCAGATATAGTTGGTATTAGCACATAAGTGGAACAGGAAATAGAACCAGTACATATAAACAACTTAGTTTGTGCTAGGAGCTCTATATTTATTATCTCATTTAATTCTCACAATCAATCATTACTAATTGGACAGCATCTCCGTTTAACAGAAGGGGTGATCGAGGTTCAGAGAGTCTTAAAGGGCCCAAGTTCATTCAGCTGTTAAACAGTAAAGCTGGTGGTTTAACTCAGTTACATCAGACCCCAAGGCTCTTATTCTCTTCACCAAGCATAATTTATGCTATTCCAAGAAGGAAAAAGGGAAGAGGGAATACAGAAAAAAAAAAATCAATGATACAAATCAACAATATAGAACTTGTATTCTAGACCACATAACCATTGTCATTTCTTTACATGAATATTTCTTTCATTTATAAGGCTGGAATAAAATTATGCCAAGCCTTTTACCAGGGCTACAAAAAGCCTTTGGGTTATATACTCTGTCACTAGCACTTTAGCTGTTCAGCTGTGATGTACACCAGTCCAGGGATCCCTGTCCCGACTGTCTCTATCCTGTCCATCAGCTTCACAGACCAAACCTTTAAACCAAACCAGAACTGTATGTCACTGACTCCTATCTGGAGATTATCATTAAGAGACTAATAATGGTGTCCTTGAAGCTGGCCATTCCTCAACCTGGCTGGCAGCAAAGAATGGTGCAGCATTTTTCTATATGTGTTCTTGAGATCTTTGATCCTCAAGTATGGTCCTTGAACCAACTGCATAAGCCTCATCTGGGGTTTATTACAAATATAAAATTTCAGATTCTATCCCAGACTTACTGAATCAGAATGTATATTTTAACAAAATCTCCATGTAATTCTTTAGTATTTTAAGGCTTGGGAAGTACTGGTTTAGAATAGTAATGCTGTTCAATGTTAATAGATGTAAGTTTTCTTCTACAGGGCTTCTGCATTCCTTAATATGTTAATATTCAGTGAAATCCCTTTCCAATAGCTGCATACTATTTGTAAGAATGGAGGATGGAGGAATAGAGTAAATTATAGGACTATTAATCTGGGAAATCATTTTTTAAAGAAAATATACTATTCCACTATATTTAACACAGCCGGGATTTGGTTGAATAAATACATTTAATTTTAAGGCCACTTACTTTTTTCTGCCATAAAAAGTAATCCTTTTATATATGGATTTCCATACATATCTTTCAATGTTCCTAGCATATATTCCAAGAATTAGAATTTTACAGTAAAAGAAATTATCGTTATACCAACTCTTAAGTATTGATAAGGTTTGATGATGGGAATGCGGACATAATTCAGATGTCCTGGAGATATTAGGAAAATTAATGGATTTGGGTTCCTCAGAGGGGAATATGTAAAGACAGAAAAGAAAAGGTAAAGAGACAATGACAGTAACTTTATCTACTTTAAACTGATGGATACACTACAGCTGTGACTCACAGAAGACAGGATGATGCCTTTTTCA